GACCTTGGAAGCTGACAGTGAACGTGAAGGATGGTATGCACTGCTCGGCTGGCAGAGTTCCCTTGTGGGTACTGCTTTGGCCGCCGCCCAGCTGTTCCAAGCCGTGATCGTGCTGTACAACCCGTGGTTTGCATCCAAAGGTACGGGCTGCCGTGCATTCAAATACTGCGTGCTCCACACGACTGACTACGGTTTCTGGTATAAGGCTGGATCGGCACTCTGATCACGATCGGTCTCACGTGCCTGGCGACCTTCATCAATGTCTTCCTCTACAAAAAATTCCCCGTCCTGGAAGGACTTGCGTTGATGTTGTTGTTCGCAGTCTTCATCGCAATGGTGAGCCTCATACTTCAACGCGATACGTGCGCGCACACTGACCCGCCCACAGCTGGTCGTCCTCTGGCTCATGGGCGACCGAGGAGGCGCAGCGGTCTTCACAACGTTCTCGAGAAACGGCTGGCCGAGTGACTGGAGAGCCTGCATGGTGAATATACTGGGTCCGGTCATCACCATCATCGGGGCGGACGCACAGGTTCACATGGCTGAGGATACGCGAGGCGCCGCACGTGTGGTACCGAGGTTGGTTTTCGCGACGTTGAGGCCACGTCAACAGAGCTTGGGCTGATTTCTGAACACCAAGGGCGATGATCGCATCGGCGGTGGTCAACTACAGCTTTGCCTTGGCTTCGATTGTGGTAAGTCGCGGCGAGTGCGATTACGATGGCGACAGTGACAGGTTCTCCGGAAACGCATCGCTAATGTTTCACAACAGACGGCGATGTATATGTTAGGCCCTGACATCGACGCGATCACCAATACACCTACCGGCGTGCCCATTGCGGAGCTGCTGCTGCGCACGACGGGAAGCGTGAGGGCCACGGCCGTTTTGACGTGTCTGCTCGGCCTTTTGTTCGTCTGTTGCCTCACGAATAACGTGACGACCGCGAGTAGACAGCTGTGGTACGTGAATCCCCAAACGCGATCGCCATCCGCTGACAGACCAAGGTCCTTCGCCCGTGACAAGGGCATTCCCTTCCACGCCTACTTCGCCCAGGTCTCTCCGACAAAGAATACGCCGGTGCGATCGACCGTCTTCACACTGTCCTTCACTTGCCTCATGTCGCTCTTCAACATAGGTTCTGCCGTCGCCCTGGCCACGTTGACTTCGTTGAGCCTGACGGGCCTGATCTCTTCCTATCAAATAGCTATCGTATCCAGGCTGTCCGCCAGGATCCGAAACGCGAAACTGCCTCCGTCGCGCTTCGATCTGGGTAAGCTACGCCCGCGGGACGCAGCCACACGATGAACTGACCTCTCGGCAGGGCCAATATTCGGATTTTTTTGCAACGCGATCGCCTTCATCTTCCTATGCGTGGTACTGGGTGAGTATGCGCACGATCGAGGCGTCGGTCACACAGCTGACCATCCACAAACAGTGATGATGTTCTTCCCCACCACTCCAAATCCCCGACCGGCGGACATGAATTGGTCGGTGGTGATGTACGGTTTCGTCACGGTCGTCATGCTGGTCTTCTACTTCAGGCGCGCCAAGTACATTTTCGATGGTCCTGTGACGACGGTTTCGTCGCAGTGGGACACAGCCACGGTGAACGACCGGACCGTCTCAGCACCCGCTTGGGTGGCGGTACTGAAAGCGAAGTTTCCCAAGCTGGCAAAGATTCTTTGAATTGCGGAGATGTCAGACTTCAGATTGTGCAACGGCGGTCGCTGTGGATTTGTGGATTGAGAAGCATGGGAGGACCAGTGCGACGGATCTTCGTCGAGTGACTGGAGGGTGGTTCGGATGAGACTGATGTTGCGGATGTAACGCTGTAGATAGTGGAGATGATGAAGCTTATGGCGAGCAGCTTTTCCTCAGTGTCGGCCTATGTCAAAATGGTATTGATGTCAGGGGCGTCGCGTCCCGCAACGTCTGAAACTGGAAGATTGTCTTCGATTCAGCTCGTTGACCGACCGGAGCGACAAGACGCAAGTCTCTGGGCCCTGGCCCGTTCGTCACACAGAATGGCCTCCCGAAGCCCTCGTCAGAAGACGCGGAAACCCCACTGCACACTGCCAGCGACGGTGTCAGTTTCGGCAGGCCGTGGCTAGTCACGTTCGAAGTGTTCCTTCGTCGTGCCGTTCAATAAGCTTGCGTAAGACCGTCTCGCTTAAGAGGGGTCATGACGGCAACCTGCTCAGGCCTCAACCGCCTGAGAGAAGTCTTGACGGTGATTCGCTCAGCCTTGAACCTGGCCCGTATTTCTCCCGGCTCACCACCATTTGCGGTGTGATGCCCCCGTCAGTAACGCTGCCAGAGTCGAACTCAGCTCACTTCAACATCTGAACGCTCGGCCTCCCGCCCGCCCGGCCACCGGCTTGGTACCTTCGCTAGAGATAGGACGCTCCCAGGCCTAGCGCGACAAGAGCAAATGTCGCGGCGGTGTCGATGCCTATCCTACTTGAGCTAAGCGCTGGCTCCTCGCCGATACGGTCGCGTTGTCCGTGCAGTCCTCTCGATCTCCAATAACCGGGCGGCCCTGCGCGCTGAATGACCTCTCCGCCATGCAGCTGTCCTCATTCATCTCCTGCAGCTCCATGGGAGACGTTCTTCGACCGCACTGCCTTGCCCACCCTGCAGACCACCGTCGCCGCCACGCTGCTTTCCTTTTTCGACGACGAAACCCCTGATACGTCCAGCACGAACCCGCGCTCCACCTTCTCTGCAGGCAAAGCCACTCATCGCAGCCCAGAATGTCCGAACATGAAGGTGTGGTGCATCGGCAGCCTTACGATCCTGAAACCTCCCTCTACGTC